AAAATGTCAATTAATCGTCTCAGACTTCATTGCTCTTTCGTTTCCACACCAGTCACTCTTTGTCGTCGTCCTCTTTTCTTTGATTTCCTTGACCTTCTGCCTCCAGACATTTTGCTTTCGATTGATGATACATACTACTTATGCCAGTTGACATCAGTGGCAAACACCACACTCTTACCCCCTTTATGGCAGTCGTTCTTGATATGGTTCTGCTCGCCGAGCTACTTTCATCTTTTTTGCAGTCTGTGCCACGCTCCACGTCAAAATGTTGAGTCTGCGGTGCGATGACCTCCATATACCGTCGACTTCCAGGCCATCAAAATCCGACATACATTCAGCACACTGGACGTTCAACACCTGCGTACCAGCGACCTGCTGTGTCATCTACACACGATGACCGCCCAGCGGCCCCACGTCTCATCTCTCATCTCCGTCGACAGTACCCGCCACAGCCAACGCCACTTTCTTCAAACACTTCACTCAAAGCCACCTTCTCGCACCGAACCGCCCTAACAAGCACCTCGTTTACAGGTCTGAAGCGGGGTACACAGAACAGCACACTTCCCCACTTCTGATTCGCAGCGACACCAAATGTACAGAAATGTAACAATGAGGAAGAAATCATGATTCATTCGTGTGGGGTTATTGACCACTTATTAGTAAGAGGTTAAAAACTGATGGTTGTTGTAGTGAGCAACAAGGATCTCAGACTGCGAATCGAAAGTATAGGTGACACAACAAAGCTGTCCCTGCAGCATGATAAACAGTACGTTTTACAGAAAAGATCGACAAGTGAACCGAGAAAAAATAGAAGAGAACATAAAAACCAGGAATATCACTCTGGACTATGCCAGTGCTGTTAATGTGAGACGTTGTCAGCGTTAGGTTAGAGGCGACAATATCATTTTCAGTTTGTAGGTGATTTACTGTAGTGAGTAAACTGATGACTCACGCGAACGACTGCGTTGCTAGAACACCAACCGAAGTGGATCGATAGTAAATTGTCAAGTATATGTGGTAGAAAACAGTCCTGACAATAAATAATTTTAAAATTCAGTTGGCAATGTGAGCTCGTGTTGATAGTTACATTGGTTTCACCCACCATATTTATCAATAGTTAGGTCCCAACAACAATGCATGTTGATGTTGAAAATCATTGTGACTTAGCTTGTTATAAAGATTAGAATTGTTCATGTTATTATACTAACCAGGAATTTCTGAAAGATCGCAAATTAAACCAGATAGAATTAGGTGGGCACAAACGAACGTATTGTATTAGGAATTCAAAATAAGCGGACAATCAAGTACAAAAGAACCATCATTTCGCATAAATAACACGCATATGTAATGTTCATGAGTTTCTAGCTCCTTGAAAGCAGCCAGCATTGCCTCAGATGTCCCTACCCATTCATGTGTCTATCCAAAAAATAAGTATGCCAAATCAGCATCTTATGAATGTCCACGTGGTTGGACCGAGAGCCGTGGATCGGAATTGGCTAATCACAAATTACCAGAAGGGATTTGTGGAGATTTTAGAAATTTCACAGATTGAAATCATGAGGTAATTGAGGCTAGACCGCCATGGAAAACCTGGAAGCACTGTACGGCCGTCTCGTCCTAGTATGGGACTCCTCAGCAGTGCACATCCACGGTCCCGCACCCCGCGAGATTCGAACCCAGGACCTATCAGTCTCACGCGCGAGCGCTTAGCCAGCCAGACCACTGAGCCGGCATTCAATGGTGTTAACGTCTAATTTCAACCAATCCACGAAGTTGCGCTACCGTTTACCATCGTCTTCAGTCAGCTGATGTCTCACAACAGACCTGGTTGAACTCCACTGGTAACGGCTTCTCACTAGAAATCCAGGAGTATCTCTTGAGTTCAGTCACTAGTGAGCAGATGATTATTATCAGAAGGGGTATGTGGAGATTTTAGAAATTTCACAGACTGAAATCATGAGTCAATTGAAGCTAGACCACCATGGAAAACCTGGAGGCACTGGACGGTAGCGCAACTTCGTGGATTGGTTGAAATTAGACATTAACACCATTGAATGCCGGCTCAGTGGTCTGGCTGGCTAAGCGCTCGCGCGTGAGACTGATAGGTCCTGGGTTCGAATCTCGCGGGGTGCGGGACCGTGGATGTGCACTGCTGAGGAGTCCCATACTAGGACGAGACGGCCGTACAGTGCTTCCAGGTTTTTCATGGTGGACTAGCTTCAATCGGCTCATGATTTTATTCACAAATTGTCAGGTTAAACGTTTATTTCAAGTGAATTACACAAGGCACGGAGTTGAAGTTAAATAATCACGCTACTTTGGCGTGTGTCACAATGTCGTAGCAAACTAGCGTATTCATTTGCCTCACAGTCGGATGCGTAATTAAAAACGGTGGAATTCGTGACGCGTTCCAGATGTCGCTTAAGTATTTGCATCTAAATAAATCCAAACGAAATTAGCATGACATTCATATAGTAATAGTGTCGACTCATGGATTACCATGTGAGATAACGGTTAGCGCAAAGTGTGTAGCAAGCGTTGGTAGAAAAATGGTAATTGGCAATGTGACCAAAGTTTATTAACTACTTCTCTTGTTGCTTAGCACGCTATTCTTTGTTAGAGAAACCCTTAACTGTATAGCACAGACTGTACTGTTTGAGGCATTTTGTACTTTTGATATAAGTTGTTCTCTTTCTTACGTTGGAACTTTTTAGAATGAACACGAATTTTGTGTTTTATGTATAATAATATATTCTGAAAGTGATAATTGCAGAACTCACACCAGTTTGCAGGCATGATGAATTTGATATGAATAGTAACACTAGATACAGAGAACAGACATGTGATATAAGATAATCTTAAGTATACTAGTTCAGTAATTGTTTAGATAGTAAATGTATTACTGTGTGGCGGTAAACAAATTCCCAAAATAAATAGCTCTGTAATTCTTCGACAACTCCGCCTGTAGCTCTTCTAGAGTTACTGCCGGTCCCAAGCCCGGGTAAATGAGGAAAGTTGGGCATGGGGTTAGCGTCCCCATCCCGTAGAAAACTAACTCGCTAAAAAAACGCTTACCAGAAAAAATTATTCAAACCATTTTAACTCTGCACTGGGAGTTAGGTCTTCATTTAGAAGAATTATGACGCTTCATGGTGAAAGCCGAGTTCCTTCGGAAGCCACGAGGCCGATGCCCCTTCTAACAACCAGAGCAAAAATTTTTGTAGGTACATGGAACGTCCGAACAATGTGGGAGACCGGGAAGACCAGTCAAATAGCAACGGAAATGAGGAGATACAATTTGGCAGTACTGGGAATCAGCGAAACCCATTGGATCCAAGCTGGACAGAAAAGGCTAGCTACGGAAGAGATGCTGCTATACTCCGGTCACGAAGAGGAAAATGCTCCACACTCAGGGAGTCGCTCTAATGCCATCCAAAGTAGCACGAAATGCACTTGTAGGATGGGAATCTCACGGATCCAGAATCATCAAAGCATCATTCAAAATAAAGAAGGAGGGGATCACAATGAATATTATCCAATGTTATGCACCCACCAATGGGACGACATGGACTGGGACAGAGAAACGAAAATGGAGAAAGATTTGCAAATCTATGTGCATTCAACAAATTGGTCATAGGAGGCACAATATTTCCACACAAGCGTATACACAAGGCTACATGGATCTCACCCGACCACACTACAGAGAACCAAATAGATCATATTTGCATCAACAAAAAATTCCGAAGGACAATGGAAGATGTGAGAACCAGGAGAGGAGCTGACGTAGCTTCAGATCACCACCTAGTTGTAGCCAATTTAAAACTGAAGCTAAAAAAGAACTGGACAAGTGGACAAACAGCACTACAAAGGTTCAATACAGCCTTCCTTCGAGATACTGGCAAACTCAATGAATTCAAGATAGCTCTCAACAACAGGTTCCAAGCCTTACAGCATCTACTGAAGGAAGAAGAAACTACTATGGAGGACAACTGGAAAGGCATCAAAGAAACATTAACTTCGACGTGTCAAGAGGTTCTGGGCCTCAACAATGGATCTCTATAGAAACACTGTACAAGATCAAAGAAGGAAGAAGAACAAAAAGATAGCAATTAACAACAGCCGGACACGAGCAAAGAAATTCCGAGCTCAAGCTGAGTACATAGAAGCAAACAAGCAAGTGAAGAAAAGCATTAGAGCCGACAAGAAGAAATACGTAGAAGAACTAGCAACAATGGCGGAAAAAGCTGCTAGAGAAGGAAATATGAAACAGCTTTACGATACAACGAAGGAACTAGCAAGGAGATATAGTAAACCAGAGAGGCCGGTCAAAGACAAAGAAAGTATGACATTCACTGGAATTCAACAACAGCGGAACAAATGGATAGAGTACTTCGAGGAACTCCTGAATAGGCCGGCTCCAATGAATCCAGTGCACATCGAAGCAGCACACACAGATCTTCCTATAGATGTCAATCCACCAACGGCGGAAGAAATCAGAATGACCATCAGACAAATCAAGAGCGCAAAAGCAGCAGGACCCGACAATATACCAGCTGAAGCACTGAAGTCAGACATCGAAGTAACTACAAACATGCTTTACCTTATATTCAAAAAGATTTGGGAGGAACAAGTGCCGATGGACTGGAAAGAAGGGCACCTCGTCAAGATTCCAAAGAAAGGAGATCTGAGCAAATGTGAAAACTACAGAGGCATCACACTACTGTCAATACCAGGGAAGGTCTTCAACAGAGTGTTGCTGAACCGGATGAAAGATGAAGTAGACGCCCAACTTCGAGATCAACAAGCTGGATTCCGTAAAGATCGATCGTGTACAGACCAAATTGCAACACTACGGATCATCGTCGAACAATGAGTTGAGTGGAACTCGTCATTATACATCAACTTCATTGATTATGAAAAGGTGTTTGACAGTGTGGATAGGAGGACATTATGGAAACTTCTTCGATACTACGGAGTTCCTGAGAAGACTGTCAATATTATCCGGAACTGATACAGTGGACTACAATGCAAAGTCGTGCATGGAGGACAGCTGGCAGATGCATTCCAAGTAAAGACCGAAGTCAGCCAAGGCTGTCTACTCCCTCCCTTTTCCTTCTGGTGGTCGACTGGATTATGAGGACCTCGACATCTGAAGGAAAACACGGAATACAATGGACAGCTCAAAATCAATTAGACGATTTGGACTTCGCAGATGACCTAGCCCTCCTATTGCATACACACGAACAGATGCAGACAAAGACAGCCAGTGTAGCAGCAGTCTCTGCATCAGTAGGCCTCAGTATACACAAAAGGAAAACCAAGGTCCTCAAATTCAAAGCGGAGAACAGAAATCCAATCACTATTGATAGCGAAACTCTGGAAGATGTAGAGTCCTTCACATACCTAGGAAGCATTATCGATGAACAAGGAGGCTCAGATGCAGACGTAAAGGCCAGGATTGGCAAAGCAAGGGTCACATTCCTACAATTGAAGAACATATGGAACTCAAAACAACTTTCAACCAATATCAAAGTCACAATCTTCAATACGAATGTCAAGGCAGTTCGACTGTACGGAGCTGAAACTTGGAGAACTACTACAACCAATATCTAGAAGGTACAAGCATTAATAAATAGCTGTCTACGCAAGATACTCAACATCCATTGGCCGGATACCATCAGCAGGACAGGTCTGGATGGCGAATGCTGGTGAGCGGCCTGTGCTACTTCACGAGGAGTCACAGGCGTAAGTAACAAGAAGATCACGTAAAGCACAGAACAAAGCCTCTTGTCCCATTCTATTTCAGTTTAGTAGTATCACAGTGGCCAATCACCTCCTAAATAGTCAGTCATTACTGAGGTGTATTCCAACATTCCAAAAAAGTTAGAATCATCCGTGAAAGGGCTGCTATCCAACGTCAGACCTTCGATGAATTGCAAACCAATGAACCCAGGAGAGGTAGTTACAACGTTGACCATTGCTTACATCCTAAAACACCATACACTACCCCTCCCATAAACGGAGACACGTCGCATACTGCTATTGGTCCTAAAGATATCAGGCAGCTGCAACCATTCATCCTAAGCCCAAAACCTCAGCTACCCCGAAATGCCAATCCACTTATGCCACAATAGTGCCCCAGCATTAACCTTGCGGCTCCGATAAAATGCCAAAAAATACTTGTCTCAGGGACTGCCTTACTAGCTGCAACCGCTCAGGCACCACAATACGAAGTAATACTGAATTCTCAGTAGAAACCCATAAGTACTCCAGCACCTTTAACACACAACATGCACATTTTTACAGCAGTAGAATGCCCTATAACAAATATAGTGGACTGGTAGTACCCAATCATCCTAACGTAAGGCTATAACCGACAAATACCGCACCTACACGTGATGCAAGTAAGCCATACAGTTTGAAACTTGCAAGCTCCAGGATCCAGTGCACCACACACGACACGAACAACCCCCTTGGCAACAATATCTGGCAATTCCTTAATACTTAACAGAAGCACACTACCCCACCAACCACCTATAATGGGGCTAAAATTGCCCACAAGGTAGCTATAACGTTGGCCTGCTCGGGCACCCACCTATCGATCCTAGATACTATCAGAGTCAAGCCACCCTAGACAAATCCTTGATCTCCCCTAGTTCGGCACATACACCACCTCATCCCTTTTTATCTCTCTCCCACTCGACAATGTGTAGTGACTCACATTTATTACGAGAACACAACTGGTTTAATAAAAACAAGTATTATTATAACCAACTGTACCAGTGTTTGTTTTAATGTGCTTTTGTTTGACTGTGCTAATGACAGCTATATTGTGCTTCCATTTTTATTCTTACACTTGATTGTGACTTCGCGCGAATTCGGTTACCTTCTGTAACCAAGCTCGTATCCTGGCACGATCTCGGTATCCTTTTGATACCACGAGATCGCCAGCAAATATATCTCGACTTGGTCCATTAACTGCCTTCTGATATTTGGCTTCTCGGGGATTTTATGGATTTATTTGGTTACGTTCAACCTTCGCCTTTTGATTTATTTGGCACGTGTTTCTTGGTAGCGGTGTTGATAGTTAATCTCAACTCGACGCCACGCTACAAGTGCTGCTATGGGGTCTCCAAATGTTGAGGGCGACAATCCCCTAACGGACAACGACACATCTTTCTCACCATCGATAACTGTCTCTAGTCTTAAAAGCTCCTTAATAAAACCTGCTGATCACCCCCAGAATACATTACCTATTCATTCGATTATACCTGTCACTTCTAAACATACTTCTTTCGCCAAACTAACCTCCAACTACCTTTCTCTCATTAACCATACTGGTAATAAACTAAACGAACATGAATATGGGGCCAGTGCTCCCACGTCTTCCTCTTCTCGTGGCAAAATATACAATCCACTGGGTTTACATCACACCCTTCTACGAAACAAACACTCACCGTACCTGACACATGCTGATCAATGCTCGATCTGTACAAAGTAAGATGACTCACCTATGGACCCTGTTACTTTTAAATAACCCTTCACTTGATTCGATAACTGAAAGTTGGTCGTCCTCCCATATCACAGACTCCTATCTCCAAATAGACACCTTTGAGTTCTTCTACTGTGATCGACTCACCAAGAAGAGAGGTGGTTGTCTTGTATGTGCATCAAAAAATATGAGGGCGGAAATATATAGAGACCATATCCTCAGCAAATTACCAGATTCGATATGGCTTACTGTACACACTCATGAATGTGAAATACTGGTCTGATGTGTATGTCGAGCTCCTAACACTCCAAGTTCAACTGACACTATTATGAGAGATTCATTTACTAAGGCTTCCTCGCTTGATTTCGCCTACAGAATTGTTTGTGGTGATTTCTACCTTCTAACCATCAACTGGAAGGCACATTCTGACCCACTGTGCTATGAAAGCATACTTAGGTCCTTAGACATACACGGTTGTCAGCAACATGTATACCTGCCTACACTGAATCACAACATTCTTGACTTGATATTCTGTCACAATGTCACACGAACATTAATGGTGGTTGGCTAAAAGTTTCACAACAGCGATCATAAAATAGTCCTCTGCACACTAACGATTCTTGCCAAATGCAGCAAATTGAAGACATTAAATACGCGTCCCCGATATAGAGACTATGCAACAACTGAATGGAAAAACTTTCGATTTCTAATAAAGCATTATGACTGGACCAATATTTTTTACCAGTGATAACCTCTTAGAAACTTTACAAATCCTCAATATTACCACCAAATCTGCACTGGACACTACCAGTCGCTCTAAAACTGAGTCACCAAGAACTGTTGGATGAATGATTTTCCCACTACCGGAACACATCTCATGCTACAGATATCAACATAAAGTGCATCAGCAAAAATTATCTTAGCACCATAAACTTTGATATTAGGAGTATATATACCGCCATCGAAACCCCTAAGCCAAATGCGAGTTCTGGTGCCGATGACATACCATCAATCCTATATAAAATGTCAGGACCGGACATACAGACGCTATTTTTCAAAATATACACATTATCTTGAGGGGCAGGCACATATCCCGAAACCTGGAAAGTAACGTATGTTCTTCCCAACACACAAATCAGGACCGAGAAACCTGATCGAAAACTACAGACCTACAAATACCACCTCAGTTACATCACGCATAATGGAAAAAGTGATAGAAAATCATCTATCTGATCACCTACTTAGGGAAGATCTAAGAGACTCATCACAACACGGCTGCATTAGAACAAGGTCCTGTAGTACATATCTGATAGACCTCTTTAACGAGGTTACTCGCATACATAACCAAAAGAAACTAGTGGTTATACTATATTTCGATGTTAAGAAAGCCTTTGATAAAGTACCTCATAACGTCCTAATAAACAGATTTCAGTCATTTGGAGTTACAAACCTCCTATTGAAATGAATCAAGTCCATTGCTATTTACGATCTACATCAACAATATATGCAAGTGCTTTAGCACAGGTAAGACCTACCTCATCTATGAAACTGATATTTGCGATGTACGTAGTACTATGCAAACAATCCAACATGAACTTAACATGGTAGACAACTGGAGCAAACGCTTGAGTTTAGAGCTCAACACAGAAAATGAGGCCGGCTGTGTATTGGAAACACATCTCTTAAAATAAAAGTAGCATTTTACAAGAACACGCTGACATCAGTAACTGATCTAGGGGTACATTACTCACACAGTCTTAACTTATTTGAACATATCTCAGCTAAAACATCTAAAATGAGGAAGTTGCTTAGCTTTATTTGTTGTAATTTCTTACAAAATGAATCTAAAATCATTCTTTATAAAGCCTGCGTAAGACCCATCGTCGAATACTGTTCATTCTTATTTTCCAGCCTGGGTTAGCGACACCGTCCCGTAGGAAACTAACTCGCTAAAAAAAGTGCTAACCAGAAAAACTTGTGAAAACGTTTTAAACTCTGCCCTGTGAGTCAGGTATTCATTTAGAAGAGTTATGACGTCTCATCATGGAAGCCGAGCTCCTTCGGTAGTCACGAGGCTGATGCCACTTCTGACAACCAGAGCAACCATTTATTTAGGTATATGGAATACTTGTACAATGTGGGAGACTGTCAGAGTCTTCCAAATTACTGCTGAAATGAGGAGATACAACCCAGAGGTGCTTGGGATCAGTGAAACACATTGGACAACGATGACTACCTTCAGAGGAGCCTCTGGTATACTCTGGCCATGAAGAAGAAAATCCCCCACATACACAACGGGTTGTGCTGATGTTATCAAAACAAGTTATTTAATTATTTATTGAAACACATAAACATTGGCATAAGGAGGCACCAAATACATACGCTCCACACAAATCTCATTCGATATGTATGAGGGCTGTGATACTGCCCGGGTGCACAAACCGAAGCAGGTGGTTTTCCTGGAGAGCCACTCCCCGAGCCTTCGACCTGAAGGTCTGATCCACAAGGCAGTGGAGCATCGTAAGGAGATGCAGTCCCATGGGAGCCGGTGACCAACAATTAGTTCATACGCCATTTGTTCTCGCAGGATACTGGAGCTCATGTGCACCATTGGGTTGGAATCCGGTTAAAGCACCGGAAATTCGCTCTCCGTCCTCTCAATTTCGTAAACAACACCCCTGTCACGAGAAGGCAGTGAATAGGACTTCCCTGGCAGAGGCTGTATACGCGTGACCGTGTGAGAGCATTTCGAGAGGGAGGGCGTGCTCACCCCACTTCCGGCCATACCAGAGCATTTGGGGGCTATCAAAACAAGTACGAAATACACTTATAGAATGGGAATCCCGTAGACCAAGGTTCATCAAAGCCTCCTTCAAAACAAAGAATGAGGGCATTTCAATGAACGTCAGCCAATGCTATATGCCTACCAACGACTACAATGAAGACGTTAAAGATCAATTCTATGATAGGCTGCAGTTAGTCGTCGAGATGTGCCCAACAAAGGATTGACCATTTTGATAGGAGATTTCAATGCCAAGGTTGGAATGGACAACTCCGGATATGAAGACATCATGGACTGTGAGAAAAGAATGAAAACTGTGAGAGATTCGCAAACCTATGTGCAGGAGGACAATG